AAGAACCAATTACATTTAAGTTGTATTTATTTTGTTTTAATGTGCATATCTAAATAACCAATGTTGATGAACATCTTCTCATAGATGATCATTTATCATGTGTTCCGTGTGCATTCGTCTTTAGTGTGGATTAATTGTACAAAGAGATTGTGTTGTGATATTTACAGACATGTATACAGTGCACTTTGATCAAATTCATTATTTTGCCCTACTACTCATTATATTTTCACAATACAAGTCTTTTAGTAAAAGTGTGTTTTGCAAATAAAAAAAACTACCCATGGTTCATGCTGAGATGGCTGGTGGTTCATGTCTCTAATCCTGGCAGCTCAGAAGGCTGAGATCTGAGCTTTCAGTTTGAAGCCAGCCCAGGAGAAAATTCTATGAGCCTCTTATCTCCAATTAATTTAATGGTTTAAAGAGGTAAAGCGCTAGCTTTGAACCATCTGGATGTCACAACTGGATCTTGACATTGGAAAATAAAAATAAATATCTACACAGTTAATTACATTAGAAGAGGACTTTGCTGAAAATCAGGTTAACACTGGACACAAGAGCTGAGTAAAGCCCCAGCATTGTCCTTCCTTACTTGGGATCCAGAGTAGCAGGAGCCCCAGGAGCTGAGCAGAGGACCTCATATCCATGCTGTGATCTCACTGGGACTGACTCTTGCACAGCATAAGAGCAGCCTAGTATGAATCCTCAGGCAGTGGACTGTTCTTGGGGCACATGCAAATCAGCAGAGGCTGTAAAAAGCTGGAAACAACTGTAGAATGCATGTTAACTCTCCTCTGTTGTCACAGGCCAGAGGAGGGCAGCAGAGTTTGCCTGCATAGAATGTGTTTCTCCCTGGTAGCTAAAGGAATCAATCAGTTAGTTTTGAAAGTAGAGTAAGCTCTTGCTCATTTCCTGGCTGCCTGTGAAACTTTTCTTGTGCCTCTTAATCATAGTTGTACTTGATTGAACTTGAAGGAGGGAAGAATTAAGGAAAACGAGAAGCATTCATGCTTCAGGATATATAAAGAAAAATGAACACTGGAAGATTTTGTAGACTATGTGATATGGTGCACTTTTCTCTAGACATTACCACAGCATGCCACAATAGCAGGAAGGACATACAACTTGTTATAGCTTCCAGTCTTCCATGGTTCAGTCTCCCCCAAAGCATATGTATAAACACATGGTAATAGCTGTTCTACCTTGTAGAGTAAGCCACAGTTGGATCTGAAACTTATTTTACATATTTTCTTGATTAATTAGATACTTTTACAATTAAGTTGGTATACTAATTCTCTGGGGAAATATAAAGAAACCTGTACCTATGAGCTGGGAGGGTGCCTACAGTTCATAAAATAACTCACAGAAATTCACTTGAGTGACTATACTAAGGCTTCCTTATGGCACCCTCGATGACTTCAGAGGTATATACACTCTCCAACTCACCAGTCTGTTCAACCCTCAGCCTACTGAACTCTTATTTTATATGTTGTATGTCAATGATAGGAACCTGGACCTAGTTCTCCACCTAGCATCAAAACAGGAGAAGCAGCTACAGGCTTAAATATTATAAAACAGGAAAATCAGACCATGGGAAAGTTGCTGATAGAGCTCTGACACTGCTCTTACCAGGGATTCTACTGTTATCACAAACACTATAATCATGGGAAGGAAGGCCTGTGTGGCTGTAATCTGGTATGCAGAACTGCTCCATGACAGCTGACTTATACTGAGTTACTCAGGGCAGAATTCAGGAGGGTCATCTCACTAGGACAGCAGAAGAAACCATCTGGCAGAACTGATTCACATACAGAAGTTTGAAGGCATGGATAGTAGGAGCTTGAGCAGCAACACTGGGATGTCAGAAAGGACTCAGGTTCCTTCAGTGTTCCTGTCTCCAGGCAGACTATTCAATCTTGGCTTCAATGCCTCTTGATCTTCAATTGGGCTGTCCCACACATCAAGTATGTTCAAAACCATTCCAGAAAGAAATTTCTAAGAATTTGCCTTCCCTCTTTTTAGAGGAATCAAAAATTTTATAACAGCTGTCTGCTGCCTTCACATCTCATTTCTGATATGATCCCGGTGAACCTCTAAACTCTGCTTGGTGTGCCTTGGGGCAGACTCACTTGTCCTTACCAAATACAAAGGAGAGATTTAGAGGATGGTATGAAAAATCTGAATCTCCCTTGAGGACTTTGCTCTGAGTTAATGCAGGCACTCACAGCCACACATTCTCCTCCAGTGACAGCTTTAGCTGCATCCTACAGATTTTAGTTTTTTGTATTTGTGTGTTCTTGTGTGTTATAATTATTAATATCTCTCTTGATTTGTTCTTCTCAACTTAAAATTTGTTTGTAGAATTCTTCCCTTCATATTTGTGAAGTTTTCAGCTTTTCCTTATTCCATTCGTTTTTAAACTCAATTTCATTTTCTTCAAAAAATGGTATAAGGGTTTTAGTTTTTCTAAATGCATTAAGATATTTTTCAAATTCATATAATATGTCTTGAAAAAGTATCCATGGGCACTTCAGAAAAGTGCATATTGTGCTGTTAATGTTGGAGTGTTACATGTTTTTTAGATTTAATTGGTCTATAGTATTGAAGAATTAGAGACTTCATGCTTGTCTTGCTATCTGTTTATGCATTATTGAATAAAATAGAAAGGGTTCTCATTATTTTTTCCTTTAATTTTGTTAATGATTACTATATTTTACAATATACAATTGTCCTATGTTTGTGGTAATTTGGCATCTTTTGTTAGAAGTGTTTAGTTCTCATCTATAAAAGATATTTGTCAATATTATCAGATTAGCTACTCCCAATTTTCTATCTACAATTATTTCCATAAAACTGATAGCATTGAATAATAGGATTTTACCTTTCTCTTCATAGGTTATATTATCACAGAACAGACAATTTTCCCAAGTGAAGTTTATTTCCTTAAACAAAAGTAGAATTGTTGTGTTTTAAATGCAATCTTTTATTGCCACTATAACATAAAAATGCTCTTTGTTATTAGATGAACAATCATGTAAAAGTGTAAAATTATATATTTATCAACTCAATATAGATATCATTCTCTAGTTAGTATGGTGAAATAGATTTCAGTTGGCACAATTTTATTCCTCAATGCTGCACAAATGATGTGCATTGATGTCTGTCTGCACTGCTTCTCTGGTGATGCAGGTGTTGCTGGGCGATCTAGTCAACATGTCAGTGTATGCTGCATCTCACCCAACTCTACCTTATGGGCTCTGTTGGACCAATCTTCTCATCAAGCACTCTCATATTTGCATTCATGTGATGCTTAAAAGCACTTACAATGGAAATACTGGATTTTTCTGAAATAGCCAGATATGAGGCCTTGATATTTCATAATCTGGGTCATTCTTATGTCCTGTCTATTAATGGTGCAACAAAAAAAAATTGGCTTAATATGTATTATTGAAGGGTTAGTAATTCGTGTGGGGGGGGGGTTCCAGAAGTCAAATAAATACTTGATAATCACCGGGGGCAGATTCAATGTATGCCAGAGAATAGAGACTTAGGCTCTAAAAGTGAAAGGCCTCTGAGAAGAGCTTTGTGTTCTAGAACTAGCTGTTCAGGTTCAATATTGTAGATTCCCATAGAATAGTTTAAATAGGAGCTTAAGACACCAGAATCCTCTGAAGTCTGTTTAAAACATTATAAACTAGCAGAATGTATGTCTCTCATACTAATGTCTGTCCTTGACTATAAACAACTTCCCTTAGAGCATACTCTTCTCTCCAGACTCTTTACCTGTTGGGTTATACATTGTATATTTGTGCAAATAGCTCAGTCTTTCATGCACTAGAAGACAGTCTGTCAGTTCCGCCATGGACTTCATCAGGATTAAGTTAAGAAAATGAAATTTAAAGTTGAGTATGAATAATGACTTGCTATATCCTTACACTATAATGAACTTGCAGCACTTTGAAACTAAGAAATTTTTCAAGTAAGAAGATTCTGATCACTCATGTGACCTGTATCACTGAATGCATATATGCTGTCAATCCTGAAGCTTCTCATTTTCATTAGGATTAGCACATATATGATGTGAAAATGAATGCTTATTTTTTAATCAATAAAACTGGATAAGGTTATAAAATCTATTCAGTAATGGATGACTTGAAATGTTGTACAATGTAGGTTATTTTCTTAAAAAAAAAAAAAAAAAAAAAAACATCTTGAAGAAGCCAGGTGTTGGTGGCTCACACCTGTAATCCTAGCTAGTAAGGATGCTGAGATCTGATGATCGTGGTTCAAAGACAGCCCAGGCAGGAAGCTCCATGAGACTCTTATCTCCAATAAACCACTCAGAAAACCAGAAGTGGTGCTATGGCTCAAGTGGTAGAGAGCTCGTCTTGAGTTGCAGAGCTGAGGGATAGTACCCAGGCCCAGAGTTCAAGCCCCATGACTGACAAAAAACAAAATCTTGAAACAATACACTTTTAAGTCTAAACACATTCATTTACAAAAATACATTTATAAATCATGAGTGCACAACTGTTCATCAGCACAAATGGTTGATTATTAATGCCAGATCTGATTAGCTCAACAAAAATCAGTGCTACTCAATAGAAACACCATAACTGCCACTGTCTACTCAAAAAAAAAAAAAAAGAAAAAAGACAAAGACAAATACAAAGAAGAGGAAGAAGAAGAGGAAGACAGCGATGACGAGGGGAAGAAGAAGAGGGAACGAAAAGGAGGAGGAGGAGGGGGAGGAGAAAGAGGAGGAAGAAGAGGAGGAAGTGGGAGTCTCTATGTAAAATCAGTGTTAAGGAGCATGGAGAAATATCTTGAGCTGGACAGAGCTTGAGAAAGATCTGAGTGAATACAAACTGTTGCCTTTCTTGTCCCCACTCAGAGCAGTGAAACAAGAAGTGCAGTTGTGACTTACCCTGCAGCTTTGATATACAGATCATACCGCTGGCATGATATTGCATCCTGAGTACTGACCTCTTTTGCTCTTCCAGGGGCATGAACTTCATGGGAACTTTTATGCCAACAACCTGACAGGATCCAGTTCCAATGAGAATACCATCCACAGTTTTAATGGTTGCTTTGGAGGTACCTTGTCTGTTTCCTTTCACTCATTTCCACCAGCCATATTTGTGACTTACTGACTTACAAATATGCAGAGGGGTAAAGAATGATGGATGGGTGACATTGTTCAAGACACATAATATCCCATGAATTGGCTCATTGAAGTTAAGTCCTTTTGTACTACTAAAAGATAATACAAATATTTATTACTAAAGTCTTTAAAAAAAGAATATACTCACACAGAAATGGTCTACTTACAAATTAAATGATAATGTGTTAGAATATATAAATAGAAATTTGTTGCCTATAATTAGTGAAAAAATGATTAGGACATTAAAGAATTATAATGTTAATTGTTTATGTAACATCATTTTGAGTTCTTGCAAATTGAGTATGAACATTAGGAACCCACAATGGGCACTTCTCCATGTGACCTTTTCTCACAAACACAGTCTGACTATGGTGAAGCTCAGGACTCACCCTGTGCACTTGTGGACAGAGCAGTACCCTGCTCATTGGAATTCTGGAGAGCAAAATGAAATTGCCATCTCTCTCCCATCCTGCCCTCTATGATCTCTGGGATGTGCCCAGTGCATCAATTTGCTTTATGTAAAAGTCTTCAGTGTGTTTTCCCTTTCCTGCTCTGACTCCATGAACATAATTCATCATCATTGATCACACGGCTGTGACATCTTCAGAGTTGCCTCTCATGTTCTCTCACATTCTTTTCCACTGTTGACTTGTAGTTCAGACTTCACCCTAAGAATCCTGATGGGGCAGTCAACATTGGCAGGGATTTTGGGCTACAGATCCTAATGTAAAATAAAATACTTGGGAACTTGAACATTGGGAGATGTGGTCCATTGTAAACAGACAGCCAGTGCCTTGAAATCTGGGTGGAGAGCTGCCAAGCTTCAGGCTCCTAACGGTAAGGATTTTTAACATCAGCCTCAGGGCTTTGTTTCTTGTTGAGTTTGCTTACCATCTAATGGTAGGCATTTGAACAGCAGCATACATGGTCTTTTGTTAGGAGTACTTAACATTTTCACTCTAAATCTTTTCATTCATATTCATGAACATGATCCTATTCTGTCCACTACTAAATAGGCTTCCATAGAAAACTCAAATGTCTTCTGCTGTCAATCAATTTTCTCAATGTTAACAAGACTTCAAAGGGAATTTTGTAATGGAAATAGTCACAAGACAGTTAGTCTGTATTATATAATCCATATTATATAACAAAGGTGTGTTTTGGCCAACATAAACCTCTGGGAAACCTTCGAAGATTCATTGATAAGGAACTGGGGATAGCTGACTGCATGAAGCTCATGAAAACTCTATGCTGAGCAATTGAGTGGAGGTGGCAGCTATGGTCGCTAGGGCCCAAGGGGATCCTGAATGACATCTGTTGCTTTCATATGGTTCCTTCAGCCCACTCTACCTCCCATCTGATCTTGGTTGTGGGGAAGGAGGAATGCTTGCCTCGAGAACTCCAAGTGTGCACCTGCTTTATACATTTTCCTTTACCTTTAGTGTCCTACCTAATTGCTAGATATTTTTATACTTTTGATAACACCTCTTTGGCAGTGATTGCATTGACTTAGTGTGTAGAACAGTAGGATTGTGGGTGTAGGACACAGCAGGACGAAACTGGTCAGAAGCTTGCTGCTAGATACATCAGTTATGCTCCTGTTCTTGATATCATAAATGTCAACAACTTCCAGCAAATGACCAACTGATTGATGACATCAGAAGAGAACATCATTAAAAGATGAGAAAATAGCACTCTGGGAAAAGACATCTGAGGTAATATTTAAGACAGAAACAGTATTCCTGTGTAGCCAAAATGGGCAGATTAGGGAAAGTCATACTTCAAATGAGGAAAAACACAAAGGTGGGACTAAAGCTCAGTTTTATGCATGTTTGTGCATTATTATTTAATGTGCTTTAATTATTGAATTCAGGCTGTATAGTTTGGTGATATAATAAGTGACAAAACTGTATCACTTGTTGAATTTAGTGATTTATTTCTATATTTAAGATGCAATTATTATTTTGCATTGCTAATACTTGTTTATGTGACTTTAGATATTTTAGATATTTTTCTGAACTTATCTAAAGCAGGTAATTAGCTTCTGATTAAACAGTAAAGAGATAAATTTGGAGTGCATGCTTTTAGTATTTACCAGTCATTTTGGGAGATCACATGGAAATTAGTAAAGACATAATATTGGCATACAGAAAATTTCTGATCTACAGCTCAGGAATAGACCGTTGAATTGATGTTCTGAGAAGTATTTAACATAGAACATAAATGGAAAGACAACAAGTACTTGACACAAATGAAAAGATACCAAGTACTTGATACTTTCTCTACTTTTATTGGAATAAACCCATGACAGGAATAATATTATTCTCCTTTCTTTCTTCTTCACCCTCTTCTTTTTTATGTTTTTTATTGCAAAAATAGTGTACAGAGGGGTTACAGTTACATGAGTAAGGTAATGAGTACATTTCCTATTGAGCATTGCTCCCTCCTCCTTTATTTTTCCTCTACCATCCCTTCCCTCCCCATTCTTCACCCTCCTGTTACTGTTACCTGATAATAATTATACAAAAATAAGAATTTTAAAAGAAATGCTTTTACATACTGATTATCCTATGCACTCCTAACTTATCCTCAGGAAGGCATGAAGTGGTAAAATACTTTTTATAATGCATTATTGTTAAAGGCAAGGCTAATTCGTTAGATTAATTTGGCATGGTGTATCATGAAAGAAATGTTGCCGGGCCCTGGTGGCTCATACCTATAATCCTAGCTACTCAGAAGGCTGAGACCTGAGGATCATGGTTCAAAACCAGCATGGGCAGGAAAAACCGTGAAACTCTTATCTCCAATAATCCACCAGAAAACTGGAAGTGGTGCTATGGCTCAAGTAGTAGAGTGCTAGTCTTGAGCTGTCCATGCCTACAGATCAAGCCCCACAACTGACAAAAAAAGAAAAAAAAGAGAAAAAAAAAAAGAAATGTCAACTCAATATAGGAAAAATGAAGCAAAAGAATTGCCTAAATCAAGGAAGCTTCTGGGGCTAGCTTGCCTGCTGGACTAAACATTGATGAGCTTTGTGATACTTTACTGACTGCATATAATTAGACCAGTGATGACCATATGGTTTTTCTAAATTAATAGAATGTCCATATTTGTACTGTACTATATGGTAAGTTTCTGTGCATATGTCAGTGACATTAGAAATAAAGCTAGTGTAACTAGAAAACTCAACTTACTTTTAACTTGCATTTATCTAATTATGTTTAGTATGCATTTATCTAATTATGCTTAGTATTTAGCATGTGAAACAGCACAGTTTTTGACAGTGATACCAGACTTACCAGTATTATAGCTATGCTTCTACATTTGGAACAAGATAGAGCTAATACGTGGATGGATCTCTAAGGCCTTTCCTGAGTTCTGTAACCCCCACCCCCATATGATGGAAACTGTTAGAATGAAGACAGGAACAGCAGAGCCTAAGTCCATAGTACTGCCAGTAGAATATGAAAAAATAAGCATAATACCTGTCTTATGCTTATGTGTATTGTATTAAGGATTACTCATTCAATGGTCTTCAAACAAATTCATTCTGTTTGATCAAATGGGGTTGTGAATATTGGGCCTGCTGAATGGGGACTCAAACTGAGACCTTGGAATTTGTGAATGTTCTCTCATGGACCTCTCTACACTCATTTATCTCAGCTAGAATCAGAGTACCAGGACTCAGTGTGAGAGCTCAGGCTCCAGGGTTCAGTGCTAGGTGTGCTCTTAATTGATGAACCCAGAGACAGTGACACAGCTCTGCTAAATGTGTGTTAATGGGGATTTGGAAACATGCATAGCTACAGGTGGGTTTCAAGCTTCTGACATAGAGGTAATCTGTTACTGCCATGGTCCAAGACTGCATGCTTGATGAAAAATATTACCATACATTTTATTATTAAGCGAATAGAACCACAGAAAGACAATGATTCTTATATAACTGGTTGGTTTTTATGCTAGTTAATTTGTAAAGCAACTTTTTCAGTGCACCATGGATCATATGAAATCTGGAATTTGCACTTCCAATGAATGTGTACTCGGTCTTGGTGGTTTCTATTTAATCCTGGTGTCACATGACCAATTATGACAACTCACAGCACATCTCAGGTTGATCCCCAAACTTTATTTGATAAATACACTAGTCTCATCTCCAGGTATTTCATTCAACCACAAATGAATATTCCACTACCCAAATCCAAAGTGAGGAAATCTGGAATCTGGAATGAGGAAAAAATGAAAAGCAGTAAGGGTAACATTCTAATTGCTCTTATTTAAAGTATTCTCAACTCTTTGTAAAGTATTGTCCTATAAATTCTGACAAAGAGATAAATTGGTAGAAGAATGTAAAAGGGAAATTCTAAATTTTTCTAATTATTATAGGATAGGAAGAATACCATTTTTCAAAGACAATGTCTGGAATTAGAGTTCATGATACCCTTGGGTATCACACTCAAATCTAAGAATCTCATGGTAGGTCTTCTGTGGCGATGCACTCTGACTTCTGATGCCCTGGACCTTAGATTACCCCAGTACTAATATCTAAGTCTTTGTTAGGCATTCCTCCATACCTTTGAAAACTAACGCCAAAGAAACACTAAATGTTTAAGGCTATGAATATGTTAATAACAAATTTCATCATTAGTCAATGTCCAGATTGAAAACTCATACTGTAACCCAACAATTTTCACACTTATTATGAGTGAATCATGGTGGTTCATGCTTATAATGATAGTTATTTAGGAGACTAAGATCTCAGGATTGTATTTTGTAGTAAGATAGACAATTCCAAGAGACTCTTCTCACTAATTATCAGACATCTGGAAATGGAGAATCCTCGAGCATGAGAAAAGGCAGAGCAAGAACAAGAGGCCTAGTGTTGAAGCCCCAGCACTGGGATCAAAACAAAACAAAAGCTTTTTGAAACTTTATACTTTTTACTCACATACACACTTTAATATTTTTAATCTTCCTAGGGAAATCAAAGACGTGTTCTTCTTTTGATGGCTAAGTCTTAGCTAATGAGATAATCCAGATTATGTACTGATACGTATTCTTTATTAAATCTTGAGAGGCATTGCTATGTGCTTCCTGATGGACTTCAGGAGGAAGAAAGAGTGTTAGGGCACTGAGAAGTCTTCTTTTCCCTTTCTACCAAACCCTTCCAATGACTTTCACTACCCAGCTACAAATGAAAACTCTCATAGCCGGAGGAAGCAGAGGAAGAGCAGTTGGGGTAGCCCAGCCTCACAATTCTGTACTCTGGGAGCTTTA